CATGTTAATCTGAAATGTAAATTCCAAAGGACATTGAATTTTCTTAAAAAGTTCGATTTCGACACATAAATCACCAAAAACAAAGAAAGATTTGGTGGGGAATGGCTAAAAAGATGATGCTGCTTCAACGATCAACATGATAATCACCAGTCAAAAAGAAAAAGACAGGAAAGGTAAACAAATCAATAATACAAAACAACCTAAAGTAATTCCTTTCAACTTAATTTCCTCTCTTTTTTGACTCCATGATTGCAGTGTCATCCAAACTTCTCTGAATAATACTCCATTACAAAGTCATTTTCATGTTTTTTGTTCTGCATTATTCTGAGGTCATAATTATCTGTTCATTTTCCATTCCTATTGATCAATCTCTATAGAATTAATGTTTACCCATAATTGATAATTAAGTCTTTTCATTGTCATTCACGACACGACGTTCCAAAATCCAGGGAGGACTGATTTTCCGCAATCCCATTAGTAAATAAGCAAGTAGTTTTATATGTATGAACGAAATAATTAATCTGGAAATTTGCAGAAGAATGCAGACTTACCATTTGCAAGATCAAGCAGAAAATCAGCAGGGTTCATGAAGTTGAATCCGGGCATGTACCCGATGGACCCAAAATACTCCATGACCCGATCCGCACGCCCGCTATAGATGGAGTATCCCTCCGATAACACCACCACTTTATCAAACATCCGATACAACCTACTCGACGGCTGATGAATGGTGGCGATCACGGTCCGGCCGCCGCGGGCAAGCCCCCGTAGTGTGTTTACAATTCGCTGGGCCGTGGTGGAGTCGAGCCCCGAAGTGGGCTCGTCCAGCAATAGCAGACTCGGGTTAACCAACATCTCCTGCCCAATACTGACCCGTTTACGTTCCCCGCCTGACACCCCCCGAAGTAGGGGCCCGCCCACTATACTGTTTCTGCAGCGGGTTAACCCGAGTTCTTGGATGATCAATTCGGCTTGCTCGACCTTCTCGGCTTTCGTCAACTCTTTCCGCAGCCGCAACAGGGCAGCATATGTCAGCGTCTCAAGCACCGTTAGGTGGGGGTACAGCACGTCGTCCTGGGAGACGAAGCCTGTCTTCCGCTTCATGGAGCTGGAAAACGGGCCACCATTGTAGGTTATGGTGCCGGAGACCTTCCCAGGTAACCGACCAGCAAGGGCGGTAAGGAGGGTGGTTTTGCCGCTACCGGATGGACCGAGCATTGCTAATAACTCACCAGGTCGGACAACCCCACTAACTCCATTGAGCACTGTCCGGGTTAGCTTCGGTTCCTGTGCCGAAGCAAAACAACTTCCCCTCGTACCTCCCTGGGAACTGATGATACCATAGGCAACATCTTCGAACTGAAAGTAAAAACAAAGAAAAGTTGTTTTTTAAACTTTTGTTTCTTAGCTGAATATGCTAGTTACGTATTAGTGCACAGACAAACCTTGAGAGTTATGGGATGTAGGGATTCACGAACAACTGGGGACCTAAGATGAGTTTGATGTTGTTGTTGATGATGAGGGATTGGATCTTCAAGACAAGGAACAACGTTAACGTTGTTGGGAGAACCGGGAGGTTCCGCATGAACATAAACGTTGGCGATGGGAGAAGTAGTAGTAGTATTACCGCCGGTGATAGTAGTGGATTCTTGCTCCGGAGGCATCATTTTTGAGGGATGGAAAAGAAGAAGGGATCGAGGAGTTGAAATTAATTGGAGAAAGGAGGAGAAGGTCACAAGGAAGAAGAGGTAATGTGAGTTTTATAAAGTGAAGAAGGCACGAGAAGTAGAGTTAGGAGTGTGATGGATGATATAAGAGGGCTTCGTAGGGGTCCAAGTGTAATGTATTGAACTATTCATCATTTTCCTTTTTCTAATTTTCAATATATAATGTCTTTTTTTCTATGCCTTTTCTACGTGTTAGGATATCATTCATTGTGTGTTTCGTTTTAGTTCTCTTTCGGAAGAAAAATGAATATTAAATACATAATTTAATTATATATTCTATGGTTTAGTACGTAGCTTGTTATTTTGATTATATGGATGCGTGAATTAGTAGGTAGGAAATATTCTTAGGAAACTTCGAGAATTATGCATGTATAATTTGCGTATACACATTTGTGTTTGAGCCTTTAGGTTAAGTCCAATATTGAGTTTGAGTTTTGTTTTGTGTGAATTTTAGTATAATTTTTTGTATTTATAGTATATGGTGGAAAATTAATGTAATTTGTAATATGTACTTTTCATTAAAAAAAATTGTGTTGTACCAATAAAAAGTATTTTTTTAAAATATATATATATTTACATTAATTTCAATGGAGTAACTCAATAACTAAGAACTTGAAACTCTAAGTTGAAGATTTCAAGTTGAAGTTTTGAATCAAATAATAAGGAATTTGGGGAGGAATTTGAAAATATAATAAGATTATTTTTTCTTATATAACTCATAATCAGATATATATATATATAATCTACCTTATGAAACATGCTATTCCCAAACATGTGTCATGACATCACTAAACAAGATAAATAGAGTAATAACATTACAAAACTTAATTATAGTTGTATTTTTTGAAGGAATATTTTTATCCCTTTTGACTATATATATTTTCATATGAACCCCTAACTATTAATAAAAATACTTTTTTTATTTAGTGGTTAAGGTGTTTTCAAACATTATAATGCTCTTTTAATAAAGTAAATTTTAATATTTGGGTTAGTGCATTCAAAAATCAAACTTTCGGTTAAAATATGTGTTTTAATTTTGATAAGGAACAGCAATATTGTTGGTGGAAGAAAGCAGAAGCTTTTGATGGAAATCATCGATCCACAATGAAACTTTTTTTTTTTTTAAGAAAAAAAAAAGGAAAAATAAATTAATTGGGAAGGAAATATACAGAGGAAAAAGCTAATAAAGGGTATCTTCCTTCTGTGGTTTTGGCGTTGGTGCCCCTTTCCATGTGTCGAGTGCCTATTTAATGGGCGAAGATAGTGGTTTAGATTTGTATCGTCTTTGCTATAATAGGCTTAGTTGGAGGAGGTGTCACCATCGGTGAAAGGGCTCTGTGCTTTTTCCTTTTGAGGTTGGTATAGCTAGCATAATTTTCGTTGCCGTGATTATTCTAATTACTCTTACCAAATACGTGTATTTCCCCAAAATGAAAGTACTCATTGTCTTGAAAAATTTATCAAAAAATTAATTTCTAGGAAAAAAAAAAGGAATGAAAAACACAACAGTGTCAGATACCAACAACATTAGTCATACTAATATTTATATTTTTAGTCTCATAAACGTCAATGACAATCAATATTATAATTATGTGCCTTGTAAATTTATATTACCTTAAATTGTAATGGTTGATTTAAATGATTTAATAATAATTTTTTTATAATTAATTAATAAAATAATACATTATGATCTAAACCATTTATATGTTGAGTTTTGGGATACAAAGCGAGCGACATGCACATGGTATATAGAAGAATATGTCTTAAATCTCATGCACAGTTTGAAAACCTCTCATTCATGCATAGGATTCTTGGAATGAAATATCGAAGTTGATTTTCACTAGCTGGCTTACTTACTTTCTTTTTTCTTTTTTTTTTTTGAGATAAAAATCTTTTTTACACTATTTATTTGGATTCTCATAACGACGTTGGCATCTTTTGTTTTGGCCAGGTGTCGTTTGGGTTCTTTTTGTATGTCTCCTCCCACTTTGCCATCAAATCAAGCAGAGCACGTTTGTCACCAAGCTTTAGAGTTATCCAACGCCTTTGCTTTTTCTTGTTATTATTATTTTTTATATAATTTCTTTCTTTCTTCTCAGCAATCAACCCTATTGACCCCCTTAGATATCCTCAGTCCCCACAAACTATTAATTTCTTATATATACACACATAGAGTATCATATTTTATAATTTAAATTATTTTAAATTATAAAATATAAATTATTTAATGACTTAAAGATGACCTCAAATTTTAAAGTTTTTTTTATCAAATAATTAATATTTTATAATTTAAAAAATATATATATATATATA